GGGGAGGGGGAGGGGGGAGCCGCAGTACCTGGCTCGGCGGCCCCGGGGCAGCTCAGGTACAGCCTCGGCGTCACCAACGCCTCAGCGGCGGGAGCGCAGCGCAAGCGGAGAGAACGCGGCAGGGAGGCCGCCGGGATGCTGGGGCCGTGGGTCGCTGTACCCTCGCCCCTGCCCCGGGTTCGCCTCAGCCCTGCCCGCGGCCTCCTCAGCCCGGGACCCTCGAGCCCCGCGGCGGCCAGTAGACACCGAGGGAGGGCACCTGGGGGCCAGGGAGGGCACCTGGGGGCCCTGGAGGGCCGGGAACGGTCGGGAGTGGGCCCAGAGTTCGGGGACTGTCCCCGCCCAAGTTCTCTGTGTCCCCTGCCCGGTCCTCCCAGGCCCCGGGACCCGGGTACAGCAGCCTCGGAGTCTCAGGCCGCCTTTAGGCCCTTGGGGGAAGGGGGTCCTTTGGTCGCCCAGGGATCTGGGGGCTCAGAATAGGGAGTGGCCCACTGGTCCGAGGCAGGGACTGTCCCTGCTGGGGTCTTGCAGGACCCTAGCGTCAGGGCGACCTGAGGTGTGTGGGCCGGGCTCGCCCACTGCAAGTGTCTTTTTGGTTTTGTGAACTTTCCACGTTTATTTATTACCCGCGGGAGCTGAAAACGGGGGCGGGGAGGAAGAGAGTGTCCCATCTCTGGCCCTCGCCCTCCCCACCCTGCCCTTGTCTCTGTCCTGCCTGCACTAGGAAGGGGACCTGCCAGTTGAAACCTATTTTTGCCTTGGGGTTTAAAATGACAATAATAAACAACACTGATTAACCCAAGGATATTTGGGCTAATTGCACATAGCAGGCCAAGGTGTGTCACAGGAACACGTTCTAATGTTTCCAAGAAACGGACCTGTGCTTGAAACTACCTCTGTTGAGAGCCAAAGAATCACTTTTAAAGTAAAAGGAAAGTGACCAGACCCGCGTTCTGCCAGGGCCTTCCTGACTTTCTCTTTCCCATCTTCCATACAGTTTGATTCATTACAGGGAAATTATATTAGGATTTTATCGTTGAGGGAGAAAAGGACCCAAAGCTAGTTTTCCTCTTTCTTAGAGGGCTGTGTGTTAGGTCCACTCTAACCCGTCACAATGGGGAAAGGGCTTGCTAAGAATCCTTGCTTGTCAAGGATTCTGACCTGAAGATTTGGGTCCCAGATCTCAATTCCCAAATTATTATTATTAACATACATTATTACTATTAAACGTTATTATTAACATAAAATGTAAATATGTTAGCACAGGATTTTAGAAGACTTATCAGAATCTGAAAACAGTGGTTATTCGGGGATGTGAGATTAGGAATGATTTCAATCCTAGCATATATTTACATTTATATGTTCTGAGTCTACTACTATCCTAGAGGGGGGATACAACAGGGTGCAAAAAAAAAAAAAAAAAAAAAAAAAACTTT